CTCTTCTAAACTGGCAACTCTGGTTTAGGGACTGCCTCTTTCACAGACATAAGGAAATAAGTCCTATAATGAATTCAGATACTCAGTACAGTAAAAGACGCAGATATATCTACTATGTATACCAATTATATATACTCTGTAAAATTGCTGCCTTCTGTACATCCTGCTGCCACCTTCCAAGGCCAGTGCTACTGCCAACCTGGTTCCTGGTATTGGCTGGGTTGAGAGTAAAGACAATCTGGAAATGCTAAGAGGAAAAATGGAAATGGTCCAAGACACTGTCCAAGAATGATATAAGACAGGGCTGGACCAGATCTTCAATATTACTGGCAATGCTTTCTGAAACAAGAACCAACACTAGTATGTTCTTCCATATTTTTTTCTTGTTTCTACAGAAAGAACTACAAGAACGTAACTGTACCTATACATAGTGCAAGTTCACTATCTAAACTAAAGATAACAAACAAGAACTCAAGAAGTTCTTTGGGCAGCCAAAACAGTGGATACAAAGTTCACATCCTCAGAGAAAAGCAAGCAGAACATAAAACATAAATAAGCCTATTTAGCTGTTTCATATTCAAGTTCAGGAAGCAGAGTGATCTGGGTTTCTACTCCACAGATAAGAAGCTGCACATTTAAAAGAAGACAGCAGGGACATTAACTGTAGCAAAAGTGCAGCTTTTCACCACTGAAAGGAGAGACAGACCATAGAATCTGACTAAAGGAGACTCAAGAATTCAAAAAGCAGAGGGGGCAAACAAGCCACATTTTTCAATTACCTCAAAGCCTCACCCATTAACTACCAGTATGCTAGTAATCACAACCTTGAGACAATAAAAAAGATTATGCTACATTGCTAAAAAGAAACAAAGTCTATAATACATTGTAACATTTGAAAATAAGAATTTCCACACAGGCATTGTTATAAAAATAAAGCAGAAAGTCAACATTTGAGATCATGGAACAACAGACTTCACTGCCTCATCCTGTGCTTGGTCTATCCTCTTTACATATTCATAATTTCATATTCCTTGACCTCCTTTTATAATGTACCCAAATTAGCACCCTTTCCTCTAAAGGGGTTGTTACCTTGCCAGAGAGTACAGACCTCAAACATACACCAAAGCTCATGTCGTTTTTCTGTATCAACCTCTATTTCTTATCTCAAACTGGGATGACAGATGCACCCCCAAGATTTTTTAGGTTCAAAGACAGGCATTTCTTCTTCTGTTTTGGGTAAAAAAGCCCAAATCAGAAGTGAGATCTCTGTATTACATTCTCTTCTAGGCAGCTCTAGCAGTCACGTTAACACTGTGCTGGTTTCTGTTGCAAAGTGAGGCCTTCCGTTCTGCACCCCAGGCCCATGTCAATGAATTCACCAGTCTTTGGAGGCTACAGAGGCAGCTAAAGGAACGAAAGAGGAAAAGACACATAGGTGTGCAACGAGTTGCTGCTGGAGAAGCACTTCATGGAGGGTTAAGTCCTGTCTGTCAGCCGCAATGCAAATAAAGAACACAGCGTCAATGCCAATGCCATTGGCATGGCCAATCAAGAGCTCTCGGTTCATCTATTAATGCACACACATTGGCTAGCCATCCAACTGCTCAGTTAGCCTAGCCAGAGCAGGCTACAGGAGCAAGTCTGGGTGCACCTGACTGGTGCCTATGCAGCCTGCTCCTAGGTTGCAGGTGGCTCAGGACACCATGCGATCACAATAGCAGTTCTGAGGCAACTCCAGCAAATAACTTGCCTCAACCATGTTATTTTCAACAGGAATCTGAAAGCTGTTTTCTTGGCTTTTTCTTCTTTTGACAAAAAGAGGAACTAGGGCCCAGTGTGGTGACTCAACTGAGCCTAGGAGTTTGAGACCAGCATAGGCAACATAGCCAGACTCCATCTCTATAAAAAGTTAGCCAGGCCTGGTGGCACGTGCCTGGAGTCCCAGTTACTAGGGAGGCTGAGATGAAAGGATTGCCTGAGCCCAGGAGGTTGAGGCTGTGGTGAGCCATGATCATGCCATTGCACCCCAGTCTGAGATCACAATTCAGAAAAAAAAAAAAGGAATTAAACAATTTAGTATATAGACTAGAATATTTCCCTTCTTCATACTGTTTTGCATTTATTCATTAAACTGACAAATGTTTCCTGCACACCTAATATGTACTAGGCACTGTTAGATGCAGAGAAAAAAGTGCAGATTATCTTATCGTAAGTATTACAACAAACCTTAGGCCCTTATTGTAACATGCTCCTCACCCAATCCACAAAACCACTTGGCACTTAGTCTCAGAGTGACCTGATATTCAGATTCAGAAGACTGTGTCCTTTTTCTTGTTGGCAAGTGTGACCATAGAATACAAAGAGCAGCCTCCTGCTTCTATTATGAGATTGTAGCAATCACCAAGAGACAACCTCTGTGGTTAGCTATTTTAAAAAGTTATCAATTCAAGAGCTGAAGTAGCTGGCTTTAGTACCATTGAAATGATAGTCACACAAAGCGTAGGAAGCTGAAGTCTGCCCTGAAAGTAAAGAAAAATTTCATTTAGGAATTCAAAATTCAGAAGAGATAAAAAGCAGAAACTTGGCCGGGCTCAGTGGCTCAGCCTGTAATCCCGCGCTTTGGGAGGCCGAGGTGAGTGAACTGCCTGAGCCCGCAGGTTTGAGACCCGCCTGGGCAACTTGGCGAGACTTCATCTCTACAGTAATTCAAAAAATCAGCCGGGCGTGGTAGCGCACGCCTGTAGTTCCAGCTACTTGGAAGGCTGAGGCAGAAGGATCGCCGGAGCCCCGCAGGTCGAGGCTGCAGGGGCCGGGAGCGGCCACTGCAGTCTGGGCGACTGAGTGAGACTCCAACTCAAAAAAAAAAAAAAAAAAGCAGAAACTTTAAGGCTGTGCCAAAGAGTTAGAATCTATGAATGGAAATCAAGATTATGGACTAAAAGTAAGAATTATCAACTTAACATAAAATAATTCTATCATATAAAGGATTATGAAAATAAAGATGATGAATAAAAACAGTGATTTGTTAATGAAAAGTATCCAAAATGAAAAGCAGGGCAGGTGTTTTCAAGTTTTCATTCATTTACCAAAACATAGCTATTTTCCTACTAGTTCTAGAGAAACGAACAGAGCAAATCAATGTCACATTTTCACCAGCCAGAGAAGCTGTGGACTCCAAGATTTCTTTATCATGTTTTACCTTCATCCATATTTATCACTACACTTTATAATGCGTGGGGTGAGAGTCTGAATTACTTCTGTGTGTCATCTTATTCTGCTTTAATTCGCAATTTCAAATGTGAAAGGGCTGCCTGCTGATTCCACTGCATGGTTCTAGGGGCCAAAGTCCAATGTCTTCACAAACTTTAGAAAAGTTATTAATACAAAACATGAATTTCAAATTTATCTCAGATCGGCCATGAGTCTGGGCAAATAATTTAGCATCTTTACCATTCGTACCTCAGTTTATCAGACATGTCCTGATAATAAATCATGTATGTGGAAGTGCCCTACGATTAGCTCAGAGGTCCTGCATAAATTCAAGAAATGTTTGCAACACATAAGAACACTGAGGTCTCTAAGCCAATTTTTAGAAATCAATTTCAGTGAAATTTATGCAAGAATTTACAACACAAGGAGGAAAGGCATGGTTAATAAATGGTAATCTTAACTTCATCAGATTACAGGTTTAAAAAGCCCTAGAATTTAAAAGGTAAAACCCCTCACATTCTTTCTTTTCTTCCAAGATGAGAAATCAAACCCCCGAAGGGAAGCTGGTTGGGTGGGGATGATACTGATACTTGGCCCTAGTCCCAAATCGCAGCACCAAGCAACTCACGTTTTCCCAAATTATACGCTCCTTACCCACCCCGGTGGGGATATGGCCCTTAAAGGGACTAATAACCCCATGATGACAAGCCATGCCCTGACCCCTCCGCTTTCCCTTCACTCCATGCTTCCACGCCTTCGCCGGTCCGCAGACTGGCAGGCGACAGAAGCCTGATTAGCAACGACTCTCTTATCAGAGCCCACAATCAAGGACGCCGCCCGACAACTGTCCACACATCACTCATGGCAACGTTTCGCTGCGCTCTCAATCGCCGGGCCATCACACCCGGAAATGAAATCTCAAGCGCAGCCCACTTTGGACTCCCATCTCATTTCCTGAAGTTGTGCCCCAAGCGAGCGCCCGGCGGAGACCCCGAG